TGTTGACCTCAGTCTTGCGGTCTTTATAGCGCTTGACCATATTGTGTTGCTGTTGAAGACCGCATATTGACCTTAGTCTTATTTTTTTTAGCGCTTGACCATATCATGTAGCTGTTGAAGACCGCATGCTGACCTCAGTCTTGTGTCTATTTAGCGCTTCCATATTATGTAGATGTTGGAGACCGCATGTTGACCTCAGTCTTAATTGGGGTCCATTTAGCTCTTGACCATATTGTGAATCTATTGAAGACCGTTTGACCTTAGTCTTTTGTATTATTAGCGCTTGGCCATACTATGTAGCCGTAGAAGGCCGCATGTTGAGTGACATCAGTCTTGTGTTTATTTGGCGCTTGACCATATTATGTCGCTGTTGAATAAAATTGAGAATGGAAACGGGGAATGTGTCAAAGAGACAACAACCCGACCAAAAGCAGAAAACAGCCCAATTGGTCTTCAACAAAGCGAGAAAAGCCCGCACCCGGAGGCGGGCTTCAGCTGGCCCCTTAACAAAAATATGTACTAGTTCAGCGAAAATGGACGTCATGCACACTAAACTCCGAGACATATAAATGAATTAAAATTAAAAAAACATAAAAGACTAACAAAGGCCAGAGGCTCCTGACTTGGGATAAGCGCAAAAATACGGCGGGGTTTCCTTCCCCCTATACCTCTAGTCAATGTTGAATAAACAAAACACAGCAATACACACAGTAAAACTCAGTTTAAAAGAAGTCCGAGTCCGATGTCAGATAACCCTTATCATGCCAACAACTGGTTTTAGAATAAATGTGTTTATTTCCGATGCAAAGACCCTATGAGTGAATCAATATCAATTCTAAAAAATGCCATCTTTAATGACCTGACTTTATCCCTTCTGAATAAGTCTGTTTAAAGGTTTGGTTAGCTTTTGAGGTGAATGGCGACATTTTTGTGTTTTGTGTAGAATATTACCATAAAAGATTGGATGTGCATGTTGATTTATATTAACGAATGATGTCCTGGTATCGATGATAAAATTTAGTAAATGTTTTGACTAGTTTGTGATATCGAAAACCCTGGTGTAATAATTTGTCAGAAATACAGAGATTTCTTTCGTTAAAATCAAATACGTTGTTACATACACGAGCGAATCGAACAAGTTGAGATAAATAAACACCAGAAGATGGTGACAAGGGAACGTCACCATCTAAAAATGGATACATGATTAACAATAGGAAATGAAAAATCATCTCTTTTATCGTAAATGTTGGTATTAAGCTTCCCGTTAAAGATATAGATATCAAGATCCAGGAAAGGACGGTGTTCATTGTCTTTAGTGTACATACTGAAGTCGTCATTATCGAGAGCCAATATATCATCCAAATATCTAAAAGTGTTATTAAATTTTTGTGTCAGATGTTGTTTCAATGGGTCTTTGCTGGTTTTAATCATACATTGTAACTCGTTACAATACAGAAACAGGTCCGCAATAAGTGGTGCACAGTTAGTCCGAATATGAATTCCGATAAATTGACGATATACGGAATCTCCATAGCGAACAAAAATGTTATCTAGTAAAAATTCAAGGGCAGTAATGGTATCAAAGCAGGTCCAATTGATATAGTTCTTTTGTTTGTTGTTACTAAAAAATGACCGTTTAATCAGGTGTGCGATTTTTTCTAAATGAGATTATGAGGCAAAGTGGTATATTATAGGGTAGAAAAATCAGAACTTTGAACAGATTCGAAATCACCTATATGAGCGATGCCATTTACCAAGTACTTCTACGAATTTTTTGACACCCCAAAGGTAATTAATTGTATTATTTTCAAAGGCCTTATATGAACAAATAATTTCCAGGTTTTTAATTGTACCAAGTGTACTAGTAAGTAGAATAGACAGTTTAGTAGTGGAACAATGGCTTGAAGACGAAATAAATCTATATCTATAAGGTGTTTTGTGCAGCTTCGGAAGCCAGTATGTTGGAACTTTTATGTTATTCGATTCTGCTTGTAAAGAGGTAGCTAAAAGTTCATGGTTGCAGACGTCCTTTTCCGAAAATAAAGTCAGTTGGAATGTGGTGAATTCGTGATTTCCTTTTGCAGAACCTCAATGTAGAATTTACGCCAAACAATAATGATATTAGAGACCGCATGTTGACTTCAGTCTTGCATGCATGTGTCTTTTGTGTCGGTGGGATGCTGCCGGTCTCAATGTATGGTAATAAAATCAACGGTATGGCGGTACCAATTTACTGCATCAGTTGCACATTTTGACAATAAATTTCTCTTCAGTGATGCTCGAGCCGAAAATATTTCAAAATTCAAAGCGTATTAAAAAAGGAAGAGCTTATAAATCAAGAAGTACAATAAGTAGGGGAGCCAAAGCCGGACAAGGAATCAGAGCTTTACAAGAGTCAGATATATTCCGTTATTCATTATGATTTCCAAAATTTGCAGCAAATTTCAATTAAAGAACCTTTGTGAGCCTCACATATCCCACGCCCAAACATTGTCACTGGGCAAACAAAATATCACCAGATTCATAGTTTCAAAGACTCATAACTGCTACAAATGTCAACTGATAAAAATTTCTTGTGGATATGCATATCTACAGAGTATGTCCTCATTATCTACAAAGTTTCATGAAATTATGTTGTGCGTTTTCAGAGAAGTTGCGATGAGAAACTGTTGCAGTAGTAACTATATTAAGGTCAAAATTCTATGCTCAAATGGGCATAACTTCTAGAAAAAAATTGAATCATAATTTCCTGTCGACATGCACATCCACATAGTATGTTCTTATTATCTACAAAGTTTCGTGCAAATCTGTTGTGTGGATTCAGAGGAGTTGCGATGACAAACTGTTGCAGTAGTACATGTACATAAAGGTCAAAATTATATGTGCAAATGGGCATAACTTCTAGAAAAAAATGAATCATAATTTCCTGTCGATATGCACATCTACATCATGCAATTCTTTTGTGTGGATTCAGACAAGTTGCGATGACAAACTGTTGCAGCAGTATATAAAGGTCAAAATTCAATGTTCAAATGGGCAAAACTTCAAGAAAAAAAAACTGAATCATAATTTCCTGTCGATATGCACATCTACATAGTATGGTCTTATTATCTAAAAAAGTTTCATGAAATTATGTTGTGTGGATTCAGAGGAGTTACGATGACAAACCGTTGCGATAGTACATAAAGGTCAAAATTCTAAGTTCAAAGGGGCATATCTCCTAGAAAAAATTGAATCATAATTTCCTGTCGATATATAAGCACATCTACATAGCAAGTCCTTGTTATCTACAAAGTTTCGTGAAATTCTGTTGTGTGGTTTCAGAGGAGTTGTGATGACAAGAACATGACTGACCGTCGGACTGACGGACAGACTGACGGACGGACAGAAGGACGGACGGACAGAAGGACGGACGGACAGACGGACGGGTCAAACACATTATATCCTACGGAACTTCGTTCCGTGGGGAGTTCCGTGGGGTATAATAACACAATATCCTTATTTTCATGCCAATACCGAAGTACTTGCTACTGGGCTGGTGATACCCTCTGGGACTATATTTTGGAAATTGAAAGGGGGAGGCACAGAAACATAAAAAGAGAAGAACGTTTATGCCAACGTTGTTCTTTTAGTCAAATAGATAATGAAGATCATTTCTTATTGAGATGTACACAAAATGGAAAACTTGAGACTTTCTTGAATTCTTAAAAAATATATCTATTCAAATATAGATGTCAGATATCAAAAAGGACTTTTGAGCAATGGATAACTTGGATAAATTGGTTTATATCGTTCATGCCGGTCAGTTATGCGGTATGCTGCTCCATTAATTAAAAAGTCATGGTCACTGGGGAGAGTGGATTCAACAACTGCATGATATATGTACATATATAAATTCATGTCTTGTATTTTATTATTTTTGTGATGGCATAAATGTAAAGTGTTATTTTGTTAATTTACATGTCACGATGCCATTAACCCCATTTGGATATATTAACAGTGCATTATTTCAATAAACTCAAATTAAAAATAACATTAACGGTACCAATTTTTCTGTGCCAGATTCGGAATCACGCATCCCTTTTACGAGGGTGGTAATGGGGGTACCTTCATGACGAATAACGGTAAAAAATCTTGCCAAATGACGTTAACGGTAATTTTTGGTGCATGACGATAAAATGAAGACTTTCTTCAAGACGATAAAAAAATCGACAGATTTTGACGAATCACGTTATTTTTTTCCCAAAAAATAACGGTAACGATAATTATTTGAGGCTTCTGACGAATCACGATAAGGATATGTTGACGAATCACGGTAAAATTTTAACCAATTTGACGCTAACGGTATCCGAAAATAACCTTTTAACGCCTGACGGTAAAGGGCATTCATACCCTCTTTTACACAAACTGACTGCAAAAATAAATTGAATTAAATTCAAGTTCAAATGTAAGATTTAAATTTTTTTTTTTGTATCCAATATTTTTTCAACACCCATACATGTGATTAGCTGATCAATTTGTACAATAATGACTTTTTTGTATACATTGACACTTTTTCATTGCCCATATTCTATTAATTATTGATAGAGCGTCTAGTGTCTGTGGACTGATTTTTTAAGGGCACGGACCAAGATCCTGTTGTAATGATTGGTAAAAGGTCAAATTATAATCAAAACAAAAACATTCGATAACACATCCAGTCATAACGTACTTGGTATAAAAGTAACTTGATTTCTATTTTTAAAAGGTAATTAGTCTCAGTTTTGCAAAACATAAAAATGCAAAATTGAAAACGCATTTAGTGTTTGTGTTAATTTAATTTTTTTTCAACGTATTTTCAAGTAGCTTGACACAGATAGGTTACCACTTTGTAACTAGATCTATGTAAATATAAACAAATAAACAGGTAAAAAAGATCAATCATTTTCAACAATCAGCTGATGTTTGAACCTAATACTAGGGTCATATTTTTATCCAATCATATCCAATGTTACAACAGCTTATCCTAAAAATAGAAAATCCTATTTACTGGTTGGAGTAATTCAATGAAAATGTTATGGTTTTTGGTGTGTAATCTTTAGAAATATTGTGTTTAAATTCATTAATTTTTTTTCAAGTTTGTTCAGATTTTTACTTATGTTTGTGAAAAATCGTGAGGATTATGACTCAGTTCTTTGTATCTATTGATTTGTGAAATGCACAACATAAAATAAACTGAATATTTTTTGTATTTTATAGCAACTGCCTGAAGATATGTTTCAATGACAAGGAAATAATAAAAACTGCTCAAAGGGTAAGTACATATGGCTAATTACTATGTACTTTAACTTGTGTCATCAACACAATGTCAACATAAATATTGAAGGACAATTGGTGTTCAGTTATAGACAGAAGCAATATCGCAGTACCTTGATAAGATTGTGCACACCAGGACCATGTTGTTAAATTTATTTAATTTTGATCTTCAATTAGTCTCAGATTGTGAAACAAAGGATCTAGACCTTGTGTCTAAGATTCAATGTCTGACACTTTTACCCAAGAACACATGTCCAAATTAATGTTTTTTTTATCCATTTCCGACAGTTACTTTTATCAGAGATATATATTATATACAGAAACATGTATATATGTCTCTGCTTTTATTAACCTGGTACCATGCAGGAGGGTCGTAATGGGGGTAATTTCATGACAAATAACGGTAAAAATTCTTGCCAAATGACGTTAACGGTAATTTTTGTTGCATGACGATAAAATGTACACTTTCTTTTAGACGTTGAAAAAATCGACTGATTTTGACGAATCACTCTAAATTTTTCCCAAAAATAACGGTAACGATAATTCTTTGAGACCTCTAACGAATCACGATAAGGATATTTTGACGAATCACGGTAAAATTTAAACAATTTGACGCTAACGGTAGCTGAAAATGACCGTTTGACGCCTGACGGTAAAGGGCATTCCTACCCTCATGTAGCTATTTTGGTTATTTTTGGGGTTCAGGGTTCCTCATTGATGTACAAAATGTATACCCCACATCTCCTTTTATTTCAACACTCAATTTAAAATAAATATACAGATCTTTTATATTCTGTGCATAAAAAGCATGTCTGTACCCATACATGTACATTGTTTACACACACACACACATATATATATATATATATATATATATGTCCAAGCAGGACTTGTACCATCAATTTATTGATATGAATTCTTTGGATCAAGTATACACATTGTTTAATAGCCCTAAGTCAAATGGAAAATAGGTTAGATATATTTTAAGACCGAGACAGATGTTTGTGTCACCTGGTTTCTTTATATAGACAACTTTGGACAAAGGACTATCTACATGATGTCATCTGGTCAATGTAGGCAATATGCTTAGTCTTGATATTTATGATTCTTGTAAAGATCCCTTCCATTTAGAAGGGTCTGGATGGGGTCCTTCATTTCTGTTTTCTTTAATTTTATAAGTATTTTTTTTAATTCTTTATAAGTATTTTTTTTAATTCTTTATAAGTATATTTTTTGCTCATTATTCTGTATTCTTTGTATTTTAGAACCCTGTTACTCTCTATTATTATATTTGGCCTATTTTTTCTCTATTCTTTATTTTTTTTGGTCCCTTTATTCTACACTTTTTGTCCATTATTCTCTATTCTGTAAACCCCATCCAGACCCTCATGTTGCTAGAACTTATATATTTGAATCAGATACAACAAAATTATTGATCATTACAAAGAAACACCCAACTCCTCTCAGTACTTTTCATTGTTTTTGTTATTTTTCATACCTTAAAGGTACCAATTCAGAAATTGAGTTTAATTTCAAATGCAAGAAAGAAAAAAAAATATTCAGACTGTTTGGGGAAAAAAATGTATTTTGGATCCAAGCTAGTGATAAAAAAAACCCGGTATCCCTCCAAACAAAAAAAAAGAAATAATTGATAAATGTTTAAAAAATCAGTATTCTTAAATACATTATTTTCCCACCTAAAGATTATATAAAGTTTTAAAATGTGAATGAAATTGCAATGCTTTACTTGAGATGATCTGATCAGAGAATGGATGCACTATTTTTGTCTTTCGATACAATTTACCATTATAATTTGTACATGTTTTTTTTTTAAAAAAACAATGTACCATTAACTTACAATTTGTACATTTTTTTTCAACAATATTGTACAATGTACATTGTATGCAAAAGTAAGTTGAATTTTATATAAACTATTAATCATTAGTTTGATTTAGTAGTGTTTTATGTCAAGGTTAATGTACTTTTAGTTTAAAATGTAAAAATGTGTTTTATGTTAAAATATTCTGACCCTATTTCAAGACGCAGCTGATTCAGTGATTCATGGATAGTGATATTGCATCATGTTGCATAATGAAAGGCTTTTAAATACCATGCGCAATTATGTGGTTACATTTTATGGTGTGTTAAATATGACTGTGGTTATATATCATGTGGATCAAGTTATGAATATTTGTATTAAAGTTCATCCATTTATTATTTATAATTGACAGGGTTATGATGAGAGATGACATTCTTGAGATATGCTGTATTAATAGCTATAATTAGAAACACAAAATTTCCAGCAGAAAATTGGGTATTTTGGGGGTAGGCATGAGGTTATTAAGTGCATTTTCTGAAGAATTCACTAGACTAGAATGAATTGTTTGTACATGTTCTAATACACCTTATCGGCTATTTAGTCCAATCCTGAAAAAAACAGTCACTTAGACAACTTCCTGTTTGGGTCAAGAGTTTCAAAAACAAAGGTCATCAGTAATTAGCGGAGGGGGAAATATGTAAAATGTGAACATTTCGAAATTTGTATAGTTTATGATCCAATTTTTTTAACACAAATTAAAGTAAGAAAAATGCTTTGTTTGAATTGTTTACAATGGTTTAAGCAAAACTCTTTGAAAAGTTTTATGCACAGTACATTGTTTAAACAGGGCCCCAGATAGCTTCAGCTGGTTTGAAAGAGTTGTATAATTTCTGAACTAATATCCTGAATGGAATAAATAGCCATAAGGTGTATTACTCTTACAAACTATATAAAAAAATTCATTCAACATTGTTTCCTCTTTGCTTTTTATCTGGTATTAAGTCAAAAGACTTTTTGATATAGGGTTGTAGCTGGCTATTAAGTATGGGTTTTGATCATTGTTGAAGGCCGTACAGACTGACCTATAGTTGCTTAGTTTTACCTCATTTGGTCTCTGGTGGCGAGTTTTCTTATAGGCAGTCAAACCACATCTTTTTATTTCTATATTGTTTGTTTTGGTACAGTGAGTAACATAGATGTACATGTAGAACCTTGGAGTGCAGAACATTTACTAGTAAAAACTATATTGAGGTGAAGTATGAAACTACAACTGAGGGGACACACTTGTATGAGGGTCTGTATGGTGTTAGCAGAATAGAAAATAAGTCAGCAAAACAATACAGAGAGAAAAATGGACAAAAAAAAAAGAAAAGAGAATAATCATGATAATAAGGTGCTAAATTATAAAGAATAGAGAATAATGAGCAAACAAATTTAAGAACGATGCTTAGAATAATTAATAGGACTAAAAATAAGGAAAAAAGAATAAAGGACAAAACAAATTAAAAATAGAGAAAGATGGTATAAAAATTGAAGATTATAGAAAAAAAATATAAATATTAAAAGTGCACTATTTTATGACAGATCTAGATCTAAAAAAATGCATGACAGTCCACTCCGCAAATTAACTCAAAATTTAATGAAAGATTCTATATATTTTAACTTATTTTTCCAATATATAAAAGGTTTGTCATTTATAATAATGAAAGAAATAAAATGCCATATGAAATCTATATAGGAAAAGCTCAAGGTTTCTTTTCTAAAAGTGTTAATTGTCAACTCTGTGACAGGCCACTCCTACTTTGCCTTTGGAAGGTCTATGTAAATGACAAAATTCACATGAGCTGTTGTGTACATGTATCTCTAAAAAAAAACCAACACCTTTTCTGACCTTTAAAACAGTGTTGGATCCATGGTGGTAGAGGGCGTTTATGCTCCACCTTTGAATGCTTAAAAAAGTACAAATCTCATAATTATGTTTTCCACCATATACTGTAAATTCAGAAATTATTGCGTGTATTTATTATTGCGAATTTTGAAAAATGAACAGAAATGCGAGTTTAATTATTGCGATTTTAGGAAAAGCTACATACATATATATGTGTTTGATATAAGAATACGAGTTCTTATTATTGCGATACTCAAGAAGTCGCATTATTCACATTAATAAAAACCTCGCAATAATTTCTGAATTTACAGTAAATTCAAATTATAGAATCGTTCAAAAAATTTTCTCCTCTTTCTGCTCTGTGGTACAATATTCAAAAGAATCCTGTAAAAAAATTTGTAATTAAATTTCATGTGGTATTTAACTGCTGTGGTCATACATTCATGTACTTAAATTTTTTAAATATTTTATCTGTTCATTGCATCAGGTTTTTTTTTATGATGTACATGAACATTGCATTTTCTCTCAAAATAAAACGAAGTAACTGATATTAGATCAGTAGGTGATTTAAATACTTAAAAAGTATTGAATCCCAAGTATGTCCATAAATATTTAAAAAACAACTGACATTCTTATTATGATGATTGTTAAAATACTTTGTATATTATTATTTTAAATGCTTTCTAAGCTGGTAACTTGGCAAAGTTTACAAGCCACTACCTACAATGACCTGTACTTCAATTATACTATAAGATTTTGAGTAATGACTGGTTTTCTGTTACCAGTGACTGGCTTCCTGTTACCCTTTGAATAGTAAAGACAGGTGTTGATTTGAAGTGGGTTTGTACTGTCCTGACTAGACATTTGTGGCAGAAATAGTTATAATAGACAATAGAATGGTCCATTAGTTATCTAATAACCATGCCAGACATTAAATGTAAATGGATGATTGTCCATATATGGACATATAAGTCTCATTATCAGGAAAAGACTTTACACAAAATTTTCCTTGTTTCAAAATTGTATTTCTTAACATTATGACATCAATGATGATAGAAATTCTAGACCCTCATTGAAGGCAGGTCTTTGAAAGTCTCTTTCCTGTTATTTACAACTGTAGAGGAGGAATAAAGGGGGAGGGAACATCCCCACCCGTTTATGGAGCTACATATATGGTTAATGCTTAATGCATAGACCTTTTACAAGTCTCAGCCATAACATTGCCTTGGTGCTTGGGTCCCCACTTAATCAAAATCCTGGACCCACAACTAAACTGTTCCAGAATCCTGTTGATTTAAAGCTTTATTTATTGTAAAGACACGGTCACACATGTTTCTTGTTAAGACTGTATGTAGAATTTAAGATGTGTTGTTGGTTTCTTGTCTAATTGCTATAATGAGTGTTTATTCCCTACAGCATCTTTTATTCAGATTTTAAAGGATCTATATACTTATATTCAAAATACTTTACTAATATCAGATAATTATTAAAATTCAAAAATAATTTTATTGTTCAACCAGCTTCCAAGATGAATTTACTTGGAATCTTTAATGAAGTCTGTTGTTTTTTGTAAAATGATCACAGCGATCATAATTTATTTTAGTTTTAGAAGCTTTAGAAAAAAGGTTATAGAGGCTTTGACAATTGACAACTTCTGGAGCTTCCACAAACAAGGCAAAATAATTGATTTATTTGAAGTTTATTGAAGTGCAGAGTTTTGTCTCTCTGAACAATATCAGTATGGTATTGATTCCTGATCAGTGAAATTCTAAATGAATCTCTCAGACATGATGTAACCGAGTCTGAGGAATGCACAGTTAAATGAAAGGAATTAAATTTAGATATGTTTTTCTGCAATGCATTATAAAACAGATTCTGAGAAATATTGAAGAAAATTGTCCTGTTGTTGTAAACATGCATTTATGAATGTCATTTCAAGGACAGATCTGACTGAGTCAGAAATCCAATGTAATCTAAAATTATAATTGTTAATCATTTTTTTTTTCATTTGTACTGATCGACTTTATAAAAAATCAAATGAAAGTTTTAAATATTTCTGAGTGACAGAATAGACAATAGAATTCCAAAAGAAAGAGAGGAATTTGTTTTAATGTGAGATGCAGTCTGGCAGCTTCTGAAAAGTTATATTGAAAAATAAAATAAAATTGTACACACATATAAAGGGGATTGAACAAAAATTACCATAAAACCTTTAAAAAAGGGATTTTTTTTTTCTTTCTCACCCTTTTGTGTTGGGTCAGGTTCAACCAGGCATTCAAATGAGTTAAAAGGGTATTTAAGCACATCATACATACTCATCCAAACAATATAGAAGTGGATTAAAAGCACTTATGACAATATAAGAGGAGCATTAGGTCCTGATGCTCTTGCGCTTAAAATCACCCATGGAGATTTTGAAAAGTTGGCAGGTATGAGGTTGCAGTATTGGTCCTATAATTGACCTTGTATGCATAAACATGTTATGGGAATCCAGACATTTATAGAGTGACTCACTTGTAGTCAGCATTGAAAAAATCATCGACAGATTTTAACCTGAATCACCTTTAAGGAATAGAGGACAAAAAGTCCTCCCACAACTTTGTTGATCCTTATTAGTGCCCTACTGACAAAGTCGAAGGGGACTTTAGGTTTGCACTCTGTCCGTCTGTCTATCCGTCTGTCCATCCGTCAGTCCGGCAAATCAGTTTTCCACACTTTTTTTCTTCATTCTTAAAGATATTGATTTGATATTTGGTATATAGTTTTGCCATGACAAATTATAGATCAAGTTCGAATTTTGTTCCGGTCTGATGATTTAGTCCAGAGTTATGGACCATAACTCTGGACCATATCTAATGTTAGAGTAGTATGTTAAACCATATTTCTGTACAAAGGGAGATAACTCATTTTTTTAAAAAACATTCATTCTTTGGTAAATTATTTGAAGAATTTTTTGGCAGGTTTGTTTGTTATTATGTATAAGCTAATTTTCTGAATGTCATATATATATATAAAAAATTATGAAGTGAATTAAATCCTTTAATTAGATAATAATCTATTTTTATTAATGTATATATTACATTACATTGTGTAGATAAAAATTGTTGGCATTTTATAGATAAGTTACAAATCCTTATTAGTTTGTGAAAAATAAAAGAAAAAATATTTGGAACTTTTAATTATATTTGATTATAATTTGAAAATAGATATACACTGTATTACATCATATCTAATTTTAGAGAACTAATAATCATATCTAATGTTAAAGTGTTTTCCACACTTTTTTTCATCATGCTTGAAGATATTGATTGATAATTGGTATATAGTTTTATCATGACAAGTTATACAGATCAAGTTCGAAATTTTGTTTCGGTCTGATAATTTTGTGCAGAGTTGTGGTCCTTGGACTTGAAGAATTCACTCATTTAATCAGTTTTCCACACTGTTTTTAGTCATGCTTGAAGATATTGACTTGATATTTTCTTTTTGTTTACACCATGACAAGTTATAGAACAAGTTAGCTTTTTGTTCCAGTATAATGAGTTTTTACCCGGTAGGGGACTATTTATTGCCATGCAATACTCTAAGAATGCTTGTATGATATTGGTAATCTTATTGTCTCGCCTTGACCGAGTCAAAAAGCGAGACATAGGTATGCTGTTTCCGGCGTCGGCGCCAACAATGTATTAGTTTGTGATTAGGTCTAGCTCATGGTGTACCACTAGTGGTAGGTCAATGATATTTGGTATGCAGTTGTATTAGTATTGGCACATCTCATTACCATGGAGATTATTTGGCCCTGCCCCCTCAGTCAAGGTCTATTGACTTTGAAACTTTGCTTAGTTTACATGTATTAGTTTGTGATAAGGTCAGTTTATGGGGAACTACTAGTGGAAGGTCAATGATATTTGGTATGCAGTTGTATAAGCATTAGCACATCTTATTTCCATGGAGAATATTTGGTCCTTACCCGTCAGTCATGGTCTATTGCCTTTGAAACTTTTGCTAAGTTTACATGTATAAGTTTGTGAATAGGTCAGTTTAAGATGGAACCACTAATGTTAAGTCAATGATATTTGGTATGCAAATATTAAGTTTCATTTCCGTGGAGATTATATAACCCCACCCCCTAATTATGGTTCATTGATTTTGAAACTTTTACATAGTTTACAAGTTAATGTTTCTTTAGGTTTGTTTAAAGGGAACGACTTATGAAAAGTCAATGGTATTTGGTTTGCAGTTGTATTAGCATTGGCACATCTCATTTCCATGGAGATTGTTTAGCCCTGTACCTTAAGCCATAGTTCATTGACTTTGAATATTTGCATAACTTACATGTTAAAGTATTGCTATTTTAATTTCAACATTTGCATTACCAAAATAACAAATAGGCGAGACATATCTCTGTGTTAACAGTTTATGATAAAATATCTGAACTCCCTTAGAGTGGGATATGTACTATTTGTTCATCCATTATTCTGCCTGCTCTTCTGTCCCATGAAATT